ATACAAATAAAATCTGTCTGCTCTCTTGACCCACCCACTGAGGTACACAATTTACAAGGTCAGAATATAATTTCTCAAAGAAGTGTACTTGAAACAGATACTGACTTAAACTCCAGATTTTATCATGAGCACAGAGACAGTGTACACAGCACAGTGAAATTTAAGGTAGAGAACTTCACATTCTTTACACATGGAAGACAAGAGCATTGCAGTCTTCTAGAAATGCTTATATATGCAGCATAAATATAACAAGTTTTGATTCAGTCTTCAGCACAGCAAGAGCAAGGTGAGAACCCTTTTACCAGAACCCCTTCAAATTATTTCCAGACCTAATGGTCTCCCTTCTGTACTTCTGACAACTGAATTTGACCTGTAAGTTGACCAAAATAGCATATTCTTTCATGCTCTTCCTACAAGCATCATACTGGGTAAAATCAATGAGGGAAAGATTTATATCAAAATACAAAAGGATTAGAGAAAACAAGACAAACATAACAAAAACAAACACTACAATATACACGTGACATAACCCAGATTAAGTAGAGTCCATTAAATCACGAGTGGCATTCTCTGATGGACTTAAATTTAACACAAAATATACTGTGAATTGAGTCCAGTGACCCAAGTTCAGGTAAAGCATTGGTTTCAAATAAACATTCGGGACAGTATTCACAAACACTAACTTCAGGTTATCCACAAATCGTCTTGCACCCTTTTATCATGGCTGCCCATTTCTCCCAAATAACTATGTGACCCTTCAATTTAAGTCTTTAAATTGGTTTCTGTTGAATTCTTTGTAAGGGATTTCTTAAAAATAACCTCTCATACTGTCAGAACACCTTAAGGTACAGGGAGTACACTTACACAATCACATTTTAGGAGAAGTGAGAGCAAGAGAGCTAGAAGAGAAACTTCAAGTTTCACAGTATACAGCCTATGCCAGTTCTGGCACTACTGCTACTGAACGGGAAGCTCTTGCTAACGTTCAGTCCTCCCATACGCCTCTGAGCCTGTTAATTAAAAGCACTGCTAGAAGACTAAAGAGAGTTCCTAAAATCCTAGAAGAGACAGTAGTAATTTCTGACATTATATAAAGTGAGAAATAACAGGCAAACCCAATGCCAAAATGAGTAGTCAAAACTAGTCCTAAAATAACAAACAGAGCTGAACTAAAGCATTTTTATTTCAAGGAGGTCAGAAGCCTCAGAGAAGGCTTGCACACATGCTGAACCCTTGGTCAGCCATGAAAAACAACATTTACCAAAGGCCTCTCAGAAAAGTTTCCTGCTAGGGTGTACGCCAAGGGATAGGTGTGTGTGTGGCTTTTATTTTTAAGTTGAGGAGAAGGGAAAACTTCACACTAACGCTAAGATTTATGATAGCCATTAGTGGATTTCTCGCTCTGGATACCTGCCCAGAGTAGAGGAAAATCCAGGTCATTAAACCTCTGAACAACTTCAGACTATGCAGAACTAAATCCAAAGTTAGTTAAAGTTCAGCTCCTACTCACTCTCCCCAAACCATTTATTTTGTGGTATTTTATCTGAAGTTTTCTGACAAAAGTTGCGGCCCACCATTTAACAAATAGCATTATGTTCACTCATCATCCTTCCAGTTGTCCGGCACTTCCATGGAAAGTGGTGCTGCTCTTGTTTGCCTTGACAGGAGAATAATACCCGACATCCGGTGAAATTTGTTTTCCAAAGCTCTAAGATTATTTTTTAATATGTGAGAGCACTGCCACTTTCCATGCTTTTGCCAGATTACCCACTAGCTTCTTTTGCGATAAGCTAAACCAGGTCACTGCACCTTGCTTAGCTAATGCAGAAAATTACTGGGGAGTTTTCTGTTGTTAGAAAGGATGCAACAAGCAAGCTTATCCCCAAGCTGTTGGGGAAAACTACAATCTAGACTTTATATTTCTGATTATAAATGTAGATTATCAGAAGTACATAAACTTGAGAAAAAAGTTCTTTTGAAAGACACAGGCCATTGTGGTTACAGATCTTGGCTTGTATTAAAAAGATCACTAAGTTGGTGGGTCAATTTTTACAGATTTGCACGGAGGTACCACAATTTTTTTAACTCTCCATTTTAAAACAGCTGGGAAGAGGCAATTTCAAACATAAAGCAGTAATTTAAGGTGTGATGTATTGATATCCTGCAGAAAGTGAAAATTTTCCACTGAGCACAACTACGAACCACCAGTGCTCTGGGAAAGGAATTTGGGAGGGAGCTGAAAGATATGGAAGTGTTTAAGTAATGAACCGTGGAAAACTAACGGCTATACCCTTGAAGAAGAGCTAACGGATTGATAAAAGGGAGTATCTTGGCGCCAAAGACTGGATGGTGGCCAGCGGAGCATGAAGTCTGATAAAACTGCAGTAACTGGGCGAAAGCTAAATGCAGCGAGGGGAGATCGTGACCACCGACTCAATTCAGGACCAAAAAGACTTGCCCCCACACCTGAGAGGGGCGTGCGTGCTAATCTACATAGCAAGCGAGGCTGATTTAAATATAGTAAACCAAGAGTGTATGAAATGTTAATCACGTATCATTAAGTGTAAATTTGGGTGGGTTTATACTAATCATGTAGCAGGATAAATATGCCGTAGTTTTTTATGAAGGTGCTGCTAGATTTGTAGAACTGCCACCTAGCATCCATCTTTGTGCAAATATGAGAGGAATAAAATACCTCAGGTCTGTGTGTTAACTGGCGTCTGCACACCAGGTGAATGACCCCACATTTGGGATAACGATATGATGACACCTTAGGTGATGCAATGCAAGCTCATATGACATAGATATGCATAAAGTTTTGTGCCTCGCATCCAGCTCACTTGAAACACATTTTTGCCAAGTTTGAACATGTATGACTGTTGTGGTTTAACCTGGCAGGCAGCTGAACACCACACAGCTGTTCACTCCCTCGCCCTCTCCCAACTCCTGAGCAACAGTTCCCCCACGGCCAACTCCCCCCAGTTTATATACTGAGTTATACACTAAGCATGATGTCATATGGTAGAGAATATCCCTTTCGCCACTTGGGCCAACTGTCCTGGCTGTGCCCCCTCCTAGCTTCTCGCTGGCAGGGCATGAGATGCTGAAAAGTCCTTGACCAATGTAAGCACTGCTCAGCAACAACTAAAACATCAGTGTGTTATCAACATTATTCTCATACTAAATCCAAAACACAGGACTATACCAGCTACTAGGAGGGAAAAAAATTAACTGTATCCCAGCTGAAGCCAGGACAATATCCCTTCTTAGTTATCCTATGTTGGGAAAGTTTTACATTTTCTAGACAAAGAGGTAGCCAGCACCTTTTCTAAAAAAAGGGCAGCCCTCCCTGCCCCCCAAAATCCATCTAGAGCTTGTAAAGCATCTTTGAATCCAAACATCATCCTGTACTAGAAACTTGTGCTTCCATTTTACATAAAGCAGGTCAAAGTGAATGTCTCACTGAGACCAAGTCTACTATCTTACAAAGATGAGGGGGAAGGGCAGTGAAGAGGAATATATGCATAGAGGAAGAACATTTCAGTGGATTGCTAGAGTCGGATTAAAACTGAAAGACTGTTTAAATTGCAGAAGGAAGCTGTTTTAAGAAGCAAGCCAAAATCTTACATGGACTAGATCACAATGAAGTGTTTAGTGAGTAACCTCACAGCAGGCAAATAGTTTACAGTTTCTAGAACTTCCAAATTGTAAAACTTGAAATAAATTAGAACTTAAAAGTTTGCACAAGAAGAGATAATGCCTGTTATTTCACACAGTTATAAGGGTTTTCACAATCTCATTAGAGACAGCAATAAATGAAACTTTTACCTGTACACAGATGCAGCACAGGATAGCCACATAGAAGTTTATGATTTGCAACAGGGGCCTTACCTTTACAGAGCATTTCCTTTTCTACTTAATTATAGGAAATATTTTAAATATGCAGTACAAAATAACATAAACTGGAAAAATAAGCTGTATCTTCCATATACAAAATTTATTTCACTGGACACCATACAAAATAGTAAACTTAAAAAATGAACATACCAATTTGACATCAATGGTAAATACAGTTTTAACAATAATTGGTCATCAATAACAAATATGTGAGAGGCACAAATTGTGCTACAGCAGGTCCAAAAGAGGGTTCACAACTTTTTTTTGGAAAAGCTAAAATTTTCAAGACTACATATTTAAATTCAATTTACAGTAGCTGACCAATTTACAAATATTTACAGAGAATCAAAACAGAAGCCCAGCTTATTATAGCAGTGGTACAGTTGTGGGGTTTTTTGGTTTGGTTGGTTTTTTTTTTTTTTTTTCGCCCCCTCCAAAGCAGACAACACTACTACTTCAAATATGCAAAAGGAAGCACTAAAAAGTATCTTGCCTACTCTGTGTGAATATGAAGCATTTATGCATATTGATTTGTCCTTTTTTATTTCAACTTCTTTGTAGTAGAACTGTTGCTTGAAAATTCCAGTTTAGCTTACAGTTCTTGACATCCAGAATACTACAAACCATAATCTAGTTTAATTTTCATAAGTTGTTGCTTGTTGTTCCATGTAAAAGGGAAATAAAACTGGAAAGTGCCAAGTTGAGAAAAAGTGCTTACTGCAATTATGCAGGTGTAAAGCACGGGCTGTCTGTTCATCACGAAGTGGATACTGTGCGCCATGTTTTAAGGATATAGGCAGACTTGCATGTTGTTTAGCTCTGAATTAATGATTACACAGATTATGGAAACAAGAAGTCAGTATATTCCCATACATTCCTTAAAGTGGATTTATTCTTGTGGTTTGCTGTTTGAGTTTCTTCTAGAAGTCAACAATGCAATCATTTTCAGAAAACACATCTTTGAATGAACAGCTGTATTAACAAATGTCGATAATAAAATATGCAATCTTTCTTATAAACATTTCCTTAACAAAAGTTTATAGAGAAAAAAACATGTCATAAAAAAACATAGGGTAACTTCCTCTTGATTTTGATACTGTTCTTTATTTCAGTTCAGCAGGATCCAATAAGAAGAAAGTGAAAAAAGTTGGGTATCTTTTCTGTATGGTTGATCTTAAAGGTAATATACAGTTCAGGTCTTTCTTGTCTCGTAATATCTGCCAAGACTGGGGAAAAAAGTACAAGGTTTTAAAAGGCTAAATATCTTTGCCATTAATACTTAAATACCATTGTAAGCAGTAAGCCTCACAGATCCACAAAAATAAGGTTGGTATTTTTCCCCTTCTTGAGAAGAGAGGGGCTTTGGTTTTGTTTTTTAAAGGAAGAAAAAAAAATCTAAAGGTACATAAAATGCAATGAACTATTGAGGAAGGTACAGCCTTTCAAGAAGAGAATGGATTTGAGGAGACTGAGATGTTAACATTATACAAGCGTTACACTGATATTCTGACTGCAAAATAATTGTATCAAATTCACACATGTCAAAGTTCCTGATACAAGATGTTGTATTCTGACATTTCCAGAACTTAATTTTGTCTTTAAAATAGGTTATTTCAAATTTCTCCTGTATTCTAGTGTGAATTCCAGGACACATCTGTCAGGCTATGAACCTGCAAATAACTGCAGTGACCCTCCTGTCTTTACACAGAATTCATTTAAACCACAATGTGCAATGAAAACCATGGGAAGAATAATCTCTGAAGGGCAATGAGACAAACAGATTCCTTAAGCTTCTTAAAAAAAATGCAAGATATTAATAAGTACTTGCAGTTTTAAGCAACTGTCATTCCTTTTGGTTCCTAGTAAAGAGGAAATTTTTTCAGGGCCATAACATGCTAGTATACAGGCTTCCAGACATCTAGGATCAAACAACTGCTTTTACATTTTTCAGAAAACCACACAGGTTTGAAACCAATTTTTTAATTGAAAACTCTGAAAAAAAGTTCACTCTGATTTCACAGAACAGCCCAAACTACTTTGAAAACCACTGCTTCAGCAGATTCACAAAATCAAATATTTTATGTAAAAGCATGTGAACAGTTCAGCATTTTATATGCTAACATGGTTAAATAGAAGGAAACTGACATTTCTGAACAGAATTACAAAGCAAAAAAGTTATCCTTTTCTGACTAAGGCAACACCTTACAGCATTTGTTTTATTACAAGTATCTGGCCCTCAAGATACTTAAGGACTTGATTAACTGGAGTAAACAGAAGCCTCCAATGACAGCGTAACAGGGGAGTCTAACTGGTTAAAGCTGGAAGCCAGTTCTGCACACTAATCCCCAGTCATAACTACATTATGAATAGTCAGAGAGCTCATAAAACTAGAATTTCCAAATGCAATGTCTATGATAGGAGACAAGCATAAAAGAGTTGGTAGCAAGGATTTTTAGAAAAAGAAGGTTTAACCAAGGCCTAAATCTCTGCTTGCTTCAAAGTGTCCTTGCCTCCTCCACTGACTGGAAAAGTGAAAGCTCTAGTTTGAACTACTCATGTTCTAAAATTATGAGTATGGTCTCCCTAAAGAAAAGTACCAATTTAATGCAGTGGTCAAAAACCAGCAGAAAACCATCGGTGGCAACATTTATAAAAAAGGGATAGTAAGAAGTATAAAACTTTATTTATTACCAGTCAAATTCCTGAAGGAAGAAATACTGACTGAAGATAAAGTTGTAATTCTAAAGCTATTAACTATCATTAGAGTTTTACACACACAAGAAAATGTAAGACAAAGGGTTTACTATTCCAAGTACCCATTTCAACTGAAGTCTGATGTTTAATGGCAGACATTAATAAATACTTACTAAATAATTTTCTATAATTTTTTTTAAAAATACATGTCTATTATTTATATAGTACAAAGCATAAAAATATTCATAACACAAAATCAGAAACAGTGGGGTTCAATGACTAGCATTTGTATAACTATCTTGAAAACCAAAGTGACCGGAAAAATTAAATGAGATTACTTTTTACCTTCAGAAATTCACCTTTGATAATATCAAACTTCTGTTTTTCATGTACAGCTCTAGCAGTGTTTGTCCCATCAAAAGGCTCTGCAAGATCAAACACAAACATTAAGTGTTAAGAAAACCTAGAGCCAGGCTGTCTTCCAAATCTTTATTTTTCACAAAAATTTTAAAAAAAAAAAAAAAAAAAGCCCCAGACCCTGAATGGTCTAATGGTATGTAATACATAATAAAGTCAGGTTATTGTATCTATGGAAGCACGCTATGATTGTGCTGAATTTATGCATCAGCAATTATTTGTTACTGCTTAATAGTCTGAGATGACATATCAGAATATGATTTTGCATATTAAAATGTTTTGAAAATTACTACACATGCACCTCTTGGAACTGTTCACTTTAGATTCATCTCATTTAACAGCTTCTCAGTGAAATACAGGGAGTACAGTAAAATATTTACTAGAAATTTTTGTATAAGATGTATCAACTGCTGTAAAAATATATTTTTATCCGTTCATACCTATTCTACAATATCTATTCATAACTTAACAATTTGGGTCTTCTACCTTCTAACAGACTACATATTTATGTGATGTTTTTCCTTTTTTTTTTGCTAACATACTTTGAAACTTTTTTTTAATTGAAGGATTAAAAAAAGTACTCCTTGCTACTTATGGGGTTGCCAACATTAAAGCAATAGATACTAAAAAATTATGATGCAGAGACTATGCATTACAATGTGCTACAAAACAGATTTTATATCTTTTTTGCCTTACCAGAGAACTGCTTAATTAACATGGTATATTTCACACTGGCAGAATGTATGGAAGTCCTTAAGGGCCACAGAACCCCAGAAGTATATGCCTGATCAGGTAGCTTTTTTGTTTAGTTGGTTATGAATTGCTTTTATTCAGATAGGGACATATGGTAAAATAGAGCATTAAACAGACATCAGAAGGGCTTATGCCATTATGGATACCGGGACTTCAAATGTGGAACATGCTCCAGGGCATTGGGTTTTTATTTCTGCAAGTTACTTAAATTCACAAAAATTGTTTCATGCAATAGATGTTGTATTTAGTAGGTTTCTAAAAGACTTCTCTTCAAACTACCTATAGAGTTTTCAGTGGACATTTACAGGCAGATTTATTTTACTTTAGAATGCATCATACATTTACATTGGAACAAAAAAAAATTACAATCAAATAAAAAAAGGTACATAGTCCTCTAAAGTCAGTCACATAATTTGACATAGTGACCTACTGCCACTAAGAATTCCATGTCCCTTACCATGTGAAGCAGTACGGCATTTCTTCTGTGCATCTTAAACATGATGTTAACTGTTCCTTTAATGTTAGGACCTTTATGTACTTTATGGTGAATCAAGAGATACATATTTTTTTTAAAGTAACAAGACCAAAGCTGTACAATCTTCTGAAACCATCAGTGGGAAAAAGGTACTTTAGTCACAAAAGCTGACTCACACCTTCCCTTTATTCTTCCTGAATATTTACTGACTGTCAAAAGACAAACTCATTCCCTGGAGCACAGCAAGAATAATTTTGCAATCAGCTACTATTTACACCACTACATTTTCTAACCATCAAGACAGTGAGAGTCCTTCATAAGTTATTTTGTTCACACACAGGGATGATAAAAGAAAAAAAGGGATACAACTTCAACAATGATGCTTGAGGGAAAGGCTAAAGGTGATCATCTTTCCAAATGAAAATATAAGAAATCATAAAACTTCAGAACTGCTGCAAACCAAGTGCTGAGGAATTATTTTTAGAATTATTTTTAACATGTGGATCTGAAAGATTTAGAAGTACAAGCATGAATCAGGTGCAGCTTAGACAGCTTCTGATCCAGTTTCCCTAGCCAACTATCAATTTAATTGTCTCACAAAATGGCCATATTTTGAGCTTTTCCAAACTGTGTCTTTTTCAACAGGACAGTGTATGATATTATTTTATATAGACAAGATTTAAACTGAAACCAGAATACTCGCTAGCAATTTAGACCTTCTGACAAGGAACGTTCACAAATATTAGCTAAAGCTGTGTTCTCTGTTTCCCCATAATGGTAATAGCCTGCCAGATTTTTAACTGCCTGGGAAGAGCATTTCTATTGTATTTGTTTCTCTAACAGCAGAAATACAACTGAGAATCAGTCTTAAGGCCAATAAAAATTAAAACAGAACACAATTTTTTCTTTGAGCAAGCCTCAATACACTGCTACATGCAGAAATATGGCAACTTGCAGGCATAGACTTGTGTTATCTATCAACAAACCTATTTAAAGTATTAAGAAATATGTGCAATGATACCAATTACTGAAATTTTGGTCCACTAACTCGAAAAACTGACAAAGACTTGGAAACCAGAATATGTTGACACATTTAGCTAGCTTTTAAAAGCTTCTTCTCAAAGTACACAGTTGTTTATCAGTGTACTTTGTTAAACTAGTTCAGCTTAACAGCTGTTATAAACATGAATCCTACTTTAAGTTGAAATAGAATATTTAATTATTCCCTTCCAATTTAGAAGTAGAAACTTGGTATGTGAAGCTAAAACCCACTCTTAGTAAAGTCCTGAAGCACATTGCAACAGGAAGGAATCAGATGTGCCACCTGTAGATAACTTTGCTTTTTTAATAGTGCAAATGTGAGATGCACTCTTAAGGCAAAGTTGCATGCAATCAAGCCCATTTAATACAAATTCTAAAATGCCTATTTTGCATGCTGATATCTATTTTCCAACCTGACAGAAAGAAAACCTAATTATTCAACCACTTTGTAAGGTCATAAAAAAACCTGTGAGCTTGAAACACACAGCCTGCCCGCAACACAGCGGATCAGCATCATGTGACAGCAGCAGGCACAGCTGCCCAGCATTCCCACCTCCCACATTCAGACCAGAGCCCTGGCAATGCCTGCACTGTGCCATTGTGAATCATTTCAGCTGTGCAGATACTCTAATTCTCACATTTCTCAACTCTGACACTGCAGAGCCAAGTGTGCAGTCATCTTTCAGTGTATTTCTTCCCCTATGACTGGTAGTTGATTTTTTCCCCAAGAAGTCCAATACAGAACAGGAATCCCATTACGTGGCTTCATGCTGCCATCCATACATGGCCAAGTTGGTGAGGTCTGGGCCACAGAACAGCTCACTTCACCAGTAGGTAACGATTCTCTGCACAGAGCAGCACAAATGCAGGAAATTATGTGTGCGCACACGTGGGCGCACTCGCACCCCCAGCAGTCTCAAGGAATGTCTGTCCAGCCACAGGACTTCTGCCTTATCTCCCTGCTCCCCCAGCAAAATTTTCCCAGTCTCTAACAACTCTTTCCATACGATTTAGCTCCTGTCGAAGTTCTATTCCCCTTTTATCCTAAAACTTCAAGCCTTGATATCCTGATCCTAATAGCCTCCATTTATTTACATCTGGGGCCTAGGCCACCTCTCCCATTTCAAACCGTCCCTCTTCACCACAGTGTCCTAAACCACCTACTTCTAATTCAGCTCCCATTCCACTTTGGCTCCTTACCCACGGTCCCTTGTCCAACCAATTCCCCTTCACCTACAGCATTCTGATTCTCACCCCCCTTTCTTATCTCTTTGTGTTAACTATTACCAGTTACGCAGCACCCTTCCCTGCTTCTCTTCATTCTCCTACCATCTCAATGGTCTGTTATCTTCTCTTTCCCTGGTCCAAGCTTCATCTCCTACACATGCTAACTGTTCATCTTCTCCATGTAGATTCCCCACAGCTGTTGAAAGGCATCAAGAGCACATGAAGCCGGTTCCCTCTATGGTGCTATGGCCCAGCTCAGCCTGCACTAAGAAGGCTGAGACCTGCAACTCCAAAAGGTAGCCTGGGTTTACTCTCCAGTTCTGGAGGACATCACAGAGTCTCTGAGAAACTGTACATGCACAAGCCAGCCAAAAATAATAGCCACAAGGGGACTGACATATGCATAATCTAGTCACTGCTAGGACTTGGGATGCCAGAGCATTTCTGGAACAAAGAATATTCTTAAAGTGGAATTGGAATATGTGCCCGCTGTGTTTCCCCAGAAGCTCAATCTTGGCAAAACTGACAACTATGTTTTAGAGCAGGAAAACACACACTACTGTCATAAAGTCCATTCCTTGTCCAAGTCCTAATCCCTATTCCAAAAGTAACAGGGCAATGAGTGCTCTTGAAGAAAAGGTCAGGAGAACTATTTTTAAACAGTATAGAACTTAAAGCTTCCTTCTCAAATGTTCTTGGCAGGACTGTTTCCAAAACTATTTACATTGGTTAAACGTAATTTTCTACATAAATATGTTACACGTGTGCATTATTAAAACTCAACCAAGGTAAAGTCTAATTGACAGATTTATGTATTTAGTGTCTTAGCAGTTAAAATGATAATGCAGCTTTACATTTTACCTTCTACACAAATAAATTTGTTTCTCCATTCAATACCATCAGGTCTTGGAATAGCTTTGGCCTCACGAACTGAAATCATTTGATGGCTCCAACTAGGGAAAAGGAAAACAATTTGCAGAACTTTTAACTCTTGGTTCTAAATTAATAAAATCAGTTTGCATTAAAAAATAGTCAAATTGCTATGTCATAAGCCTCAATAACACAGTACTTTGAGTAATTTAGTGTAACAGTCTAATCTTCCTAATTCACTATATAAGAGTAAGGAATGATGGGTAGGAAACAAGAAAATTTGCCACAACAGAATTTTATTTACAAATCATCTGCAAAACAGAACATCACAAGTATCCATGAGTAACACATATTCATGACAGCATAATTTTTTTCAAAAAACAGTGTCAACTTGAATATGGACACCTACATTTATTTCTAAGTTCAAAAGAAATTACAGCTTCACATCTATCTTTCAGAATTTTCTGTGGGGAGAAAAGGAATGTAAGGAGTTTAAGCGCAGATTAAGTCACATACTGCATTCCATTAAAAATATATTCAAGAGTACAAAGATATATAAAGACAGCTTGCTTACAGGCCAGCATTCCTGGTGCAAGGAACCTGTTATTAGAAAGCACTAACACTTTGTATATGCTGAATTTTAGATCTCCTGCAAGTGTAACAACACAGCAAGAACTCAAATACGTGTTTGAGGATATTCTACTGCTTTCTACACACAATTTTACAACAACAAAACCATAGGAAATGATCATACTGAAACAGGAATAGCAGGCAGTTACAGGGCCATCTTTATGATGTGCCAGGCATCTTTATGATCTTTATGATGCCTGGCACAACAATATGCCAAAGATAATAGAAGCCAAAGCCACCACTTGCAGTTTTATGTTCTTATATACCCAGCCACTTTTCAGCTGCTCTTAACTAAACCAAGGAACTACCATACCAGCAAAACACCTGGACCAGCAACAATGCGTCACCATATGGCCTGACTAAATGAGGCTTAGAAATAGCTGGGTAGCATGCTGGTACCCGTACTGGTGTTACGTACACCTGACGTGATCTCCTGACTGAATCAATCTTTTAACATAATGCAAAGAGAGAGGAGCTTGGCTGGGTGCATCAACCACCTGCAGTAAATCTGTAAATATCAACTGTAAGACAAAATACAGTCTATAATTCATCAGTTAAATTTGGAAGAACTCTGTGCTCCCTAGGCCACAGATCAGCTGTTGTAACTCGATTAAGTCAGTGGTGATAAAACAGTTTACACCAGCGAAAAATCCATGCCTGCAATTCTCCAGATTATCTTGGATACAACACATGATTAAAACCACTTATGAAAGTGAGCTGTTTGAATGACTGTACCTCCATAGAACACATACATTTTTCTTCTATTCAAGAATATGAATAGGCCCTATTTCAAAAAGGTACAGGACACAGCATATGAAGCATAGTTTGGGATACCTCAGATTACTTATTCACACTGACTGCTGTGTATATTTAGATTTCTCTTGATGTATTCTTTAGAAAATTAGTACAGGTGACGATCATTTCTAGCATTCTCTGCAAACTAAAGCTTTCATTCTAACCCATCACTCTCCCTCTCCTTAATTCCCATAGTAGACTGCTTTTGCAGAATTAGAGATACTGTGAAGCACCAAATACTTTCCTATCATGTCTTTTTAATAAACTACCATCAACACAAGCTTAACAAGAAATTGCTCAAAAAAACCCAACAAACAAAAAAAGAAAAAAGAGAAAAATCATGTGACTAGAGCATCAAAGAAGCTTAAACTCCAGGCAGTATTGTTTCACTTCAAACATGTAATGCTTCTTTTGACTGACTTCTTTTTCTCTAGGTTACACTTGGCTTGATTCCTCGCAAAAAATGACTTTGTTTATAATACACTGGTTTAGCAAAAAGCAACAAAACAGGTGACATTTCTAGCTATTTAAACAGCTTTTTATTTAAACTTTAAAACAACTGCTTTATCTAATAGTCTCATTAAACCCTCACCAACCCTGCCTTGGTACCAAAATCAGCCTGAATTAGAAATGATTTGTGTATCAGTTTAAACCATTTTGGCTTGCACACAATAACTTCATTACTGGCAACACAAAGCAAATATTCTCTCCATACACACTTTCAATCCATAAGTTAACAATAATTGAAACAGCTGTTTAAATGGTTATCAGTTATTTCTGGTGTCACTACCCATATTAGGTATGTGCTCCTCATGCAGAAGGCAAGAATTTGGAAAAGACCAGGCATTTCCAGGTATAAGTGTGTATGAATATACTACAAATAGTTTAAAAAGCTTATCTTTTCCAGGGTGTTCTTATAAGCAAAAGCCACTTGCATAAACACATTAAGATGGGTACAAATTGCAAGCATATTTAATTCAATATACTATTAAAAAATGGTCCCTTTATTACCTGACCAATTCTACCCTGAAGAGAGCCATGAGCAACTGTATTTTGTATTTTGTCACGATAATGTAACCAATCTTTTATCATGTCCACCAAATACAACTTAATCAGTGAATGATCTTAAACAACTGCTGCATAACTTGAAACAATAAATTTAAAAGAAGTGCCATCCCAGATGACAATATCCAAGCTCCCTAGCAGTAACTTCAGGGGAGCAAGGCCCTGCTTCAAGGTCTCGCTTTGTGAAGAGACAGCCAAGTAAAAACCTGCTGCCTTCACTCACAGCTGCAGAAATGAAATCAGACACTCTCTCCAGAGGGCCTGGTAAACATGGACCAGTTTCCAAATACTTTCTTTTGAGAACACCTCCATACATTTTTTTACTTGGTCACATTTACTGCGTGATCAGCGGGCCTTTAATAGTTTGAAATACTTCAAGTTAGAATGGAGTTTTTAGCCAGCTGTATCACGCAAAACATTATGCAGACTTGAACTCTTATGGCAAGCTAATTATACAGCCATGTCAGCAAATTAAGCTTTGCCATATGTAGTGTGTAAACCCAACATATGCAGCAATTTCCAAATCACATTTCTGGTAACTTACGAGGGAGGATAAAAATTACTTCTTACGGACACACCGAAAATCCCAGAGTAGGACTGTGGAATGTGTGCTGTATAAATATATGGTAATCAGCAATTTTCTAAAAAAGCACATAGTCTAAATAAAGAAAGCAGATTAAAAGCATAAGGGAAAAAAACACAGCACAAAGGAGATAAACTTATTAATGGCTATTCAGCATGCAAGCTTCCTGTTTCTTTCTTTGGGCCCATCGCACCCTTAAATATTATTCACTACACCAAGTTAAATAAAACATAGATTTTAACTGAAATACCTACTGGCCTTTGCTACACTGAGGGGGAGGTTTAAAACAACGTATCTCCATATTCCTGACCAATACATGTAAAATAATTGATCAGTGACGCATTCCAGGCAGGTGGCATCAATGACTGTCCAAAAGGATGATCTTCACACATGATCTGATCATTCTTGACTGCATGCTGTTCTTTCAGTAAAACAGATCCTGTGTATCAAACCTGGTAGAGTTGTGTCCTACTCCATAGTAGGAATCTACAAAAGTCACTTTTATGAAAACCGAAGTAGTATTCTCTTTAGTAATCTTTTCAAACACATTACAGTTAAATAGTGAAAGTTCACTGGCACAGTACAGGTCATTTAAATGTGACCTAACTTAATACAGTATCTGAAATATAATCTCAAAATTTCTGTGCATAAAACCACTAGGTAAATGTTTTACAGGGAAAGCAAACGCTGAAAAAAATAGTGGTAACAGCAATGAAAATACTCAACTCATTCAGGAATAAAATACTAGTTCTTCCACAAAAGGCAGAACTAACAGAGCCCTGTGTTGTGTGTACTTCACTCGTATCCTCCTCATTGCCACCCGGAACGTTGTTTCCGTCAGCAACCTCAAAGCAAAGATAACAGATACTGTGGATAGCGTGACACTGTACTTGTTCTCATCAGCTGGCTATCACACACGCACGAATGTTTAAATACCATGTTCTGCCTGCCTTTTCCCCAGCACGGGCCTTAATTTGGGTTTCTCTTCTCCAGCCAACTACCAGTTTTTATGAAACTGTAAGGAATTCTGGTATCGTCGAGACAGACACCCTGCTTCTTTCAAACAGGATTTGTAGTTGTCAGGGATACACAGATGGTCAAGTAAACAGTACACCTAAGTTTTATTTCTGTAGCAGAAAGAATTAAAAATAATATAGGTTGCTGCATTAGGTGCATCATTTCCTGATACAACTTCTCAGCTATGTAATGTTAATTCTAAAAGGCTATTTTTTACAGTTTGGGTTTTTTTATGGCTTTTTTTTAAAAAAAAAACAAAACAGAGTATCACCAGTCACATGTTTAAATCCTTAACAGGTACTTAACACTGGAAAAACAAGCCAGATAATATTTTTTTCTTTGGTTCGATGTTGTTTTTTTTTTTTTTTTTTAAATCTTTTCTTCCCTTGACATCAGCAACTATCCTATCTTCGTTGTCCACTTTTTCAAGCTTTGTTTTAACCAGACGCATTTCAAACAACAGGAAAAAAAAAAAAAAAAAAAAAAAAAGGTCCTCCTGGACCAGCTACTGACTTATGCAGAAATCTGCTCCTGACTATGTTCACAACCATCCAAACCAGAAAAGTCAAATTAGGTCTTTTTCCTGCATTTGGACAAGATCTTCTCTGCTAGTTTGCACGGGCAAACCAGAAATCTCTTCCTTACTGGAAGAGGTATTTACTTTCATATATGAGAAGACTAACAGCTTGTTATACAGACAAGTAGCAAAGGATGCAGCTAGTGTCCCACATAAATTAGGAACTTGAGGATATCCTCCAGCAGTGTCTTCTAATTTACCTGTTTAGCAAGCAGCACCTTGCCAGCTGAAAAGACAGGTACTCAGGAGAAACTTTTAGAGCATTCCCTTATCTGCAGAGATTGTTGAAGGAAAATCCTTTACGTGAAAATCTCTCAGAATCGAGCTTAAGCATGCACAAAGTGCAATTAGTTCACGAATTGCCACAGGCCATATGGATTTAGCTTACATATTCCACATGTAATGCATACCCCAGCAATGTTTTCTTATAAGGATTTCATGATTGTTCACTTCTTACATTGAAGTAAAATATGAACAGTTCAAAAATTATAATGAGTATCCATGTAGTTATACATTTTGTTTTCCTTCCAGGAAATGGATATGATGCACATACACAGGACAGCAACATGTATGAACCAACAGTCTCAGAAACAAGTTCTTTAGAAGATGTTTAAGCTTATTGAAATACAACTATTTGATATTTTATACAGACAAGCACTTTTTCTAAGAAATTGTCAAGTGACAATTTAGCAAAATATTCGTAATCTTCAGCTTTCTCAGATGCCCTCACAACTTTACTTTCTTCTTCTCTTCTACAACAAAGTCCAGATGCCAAAATTAAACTTGGATTCTAGCAAGCCAACAAGGTTACTGAACCAACTATATACGGGAGAATTCTTCACTAGGTGTGGCCTATATCGATGTGTATTATAGTCAACATAAGGAGCCACTTGGTCAGTTACCTCCATTGACTCAGGGTGACAGAAGACAAGCGCAGCTATTGAGGTCCAAATAATTGACATCACAATCAATACCTTAAATTTACAACTAAGAAGAACAGATTTTTCTCACACATGGATAGGCAGTTTTGCAATAGTGTAATATAACAAAACCCAGCTATTTTTAAAGGACAAAGCTCTCTAACTTCTGGCTGCTACTTTACAGGATAGCGTGCTTCGCTAAGCAAAAGATGTCAGACACTCTTTATCAGCATTCCTGTTGTCCTTTAGTCTTTTCACCCATTCCCCCTCTGTCAGTTACCACTCCAGCATTACTGCTATTCTTTCTCTTCAAGGGTTATAAAGCATTGACATATTGAATAGAAGGAATCAAAGCTTTGCATATTCTAAAACACTAAGATGAGCTTATTACTTACTCAAATTCTGTGGCATAATATTTGAAGAAGCCTATTAGCAACTCTCCAAGGCTTGATCCATTTTTTGAGAGGTAAGGAGGAATGGTACATGGAGCTTGATGAACAAGATGCAACTGCATAGTAGGATCAAAAGATTCCTGTCAAAATAAAATCAGAGAGTATGTCTACACACACACTGCCTTAATCTAGGTGCATATATTTTTCACAGTAAAAAAGACGCCTATCATTTGCTTATTAGAAGTTCAAGGACAACTTACAAGCAAAGCACTATTTCTTTTGTGCTCCTCTGTTGGACACTAGTTACTCCTGAACTCAGGTAGAATCATCTTGCACAGGAGGATCCGAGACCATCCCTTGCCTTCTGTTTGCTAAAGAATTTTAACATCGGAGAATCTTTGAACTGGACTTGTGTTTACATGCTAATAAAACCACATGAGCAGAAGCTGAGTAAGGTAGCCTGCACTGAGCTGGCTGCAGCTGAACTGAGATATGGCAGGTGAAGCTAATGCACTCATCACTAAGTTCCCATAACTGTGGTACAGAAACAATCTAAAGGGAAGGCCTGACTTATTTTTCCCACAGCACAGAGTTAAAATTGCATGTGAAACCCACTGGCTCTAACATGAACCTGCATCCTCCCACATAATGAGTTCAGATACTGCAGCAGCACCTCCTCTAGCCAACCTATCTGAAAGAATAAAAAAAAAAAAAAAAAAAAAAAAAGAAGTTATACAAAAAACCTGAATACACAGAACACAGCGTTTAAGCTGAAGTGTGCTTTTCTTCTGGGGCCCGGGGGGGAGCAGGGGTGGGTAGAAAGAAAAAGTCAGGTTTGCTATAAGAAAAAAATCACTATTGCCAGCTTAAAAAAGGAATCTACACGAAACTAAGTTAACATAGTTTTAGATCTGCTGCACTGCTTGGGTGTCCATTGCATCCTTTAGGTCCTTCTGAGAGACTGGGGTACACAGAGGAAAACACTTCTCTTGCTAGAGAAACAATTTTTAAAACCTGGTAATACCGGGATACTACATTTTACAGCAATGTTGTGTATTTTAAGGAAAATGAACCCAAGATACACAAGAGCAAGCTTTATGTTCACATAAATACATCTGTGTAAATTTAGGAACCCATTCAGTCATTACTGTATCTCCTCTCCCACTCTTTTGTTATTTTAAAGAGTAGTAACAAGCATGACTCAAACTTTATAGTACTAGAATATCACTGGAAGCACTATACACTGTAATGCTATTTCCATGTTCACAGCTCGCAGTGCTTCCTCCGAGGAAAGTGTGGTTAGCTATCAAACCAGCAGGACTGGGAAGTTTGGGACTCTTGCCCATTCTAGCAAAACTTCCTGGAACCTTGCACATCACCTTCCGGGGAAAAAAGGCCATTCTTCCAGCTATGAAAAATTTCAAGTCTTGTTCTCACATGATATAACTTTGCACATAAAATATTATTATAGTTAGCAGAGCTCAGAATTTAACAGCTTCCAGTCCAACAGAACACACCAAAAACATGGAGACAGACATAAAAAGCAGATATGCAGCATATACAGATTTAAAACGGGAACCGTTGTTCCTATGTTATCCAGTATATACAGTTTTAACCGCAAAGGTAATCAGACAGATACTGGAGTGAAAGCCACTCCTTGCCCATTCCCACAGAAAGCTGTAGAAGAGTCACAACAAATGAATTTAGTATTAGCAGTGTAATAGCTCATGAGGAAATGGACACAGGGGGCAAAAAAGGAATGAGAACAAGGGCTGCTGAGCTCCAAACAATACAAAACAGAAATGCAATTAAATTACTACAACAGAAGTCTACTAAGACTAATAAGTAAATGTTTGGTGGCAGCAGACATTTTTTTTTTGTGCTTTGAATGTTCAAAAGCCTGAGAACGTCTCAACTGCAAGAAAAATCTGCCACCACAGTGAGGTTGGCATACTGAGCAGCTAAAAAGTTAGACTTTGGGATATTATTTTTCAGAATAATAAATAAGCTATTTTCTTTAGCACTATTACAAGCTTAGAAAGGGTGTTGCTTTTTCTTATCAATCTCGACCTTAAGTACATTTTATTTACGTTTTATATGTTGATCACAATTAATTAATTTTTATTAGTGTTTGTACATCACTTGAATAAGAAAAAATAAATCAGTTCTACTAATAGCAGAAGACAATATATCAAATATAGTTGTAACAAAACTTACAGCAAAAAAGAATACATGTGTGCCTGTGTATGCTTACATCCAGAAAAAATGACAGTGCAAAAGGACATCAAATACAACTTTATACAAAGATATTTTTTCAATTAGATTTGTTAGCAGTTAATGAAATAGGAAATTAAAAAACCTTGCCGAGTTTTAAAATCACAAATCTGTATTTTGAAAAAGGCGATTATGATAGAAGCACAGTCCAGATGAAGGCATTTTTCAGGATATTTAGTTTCTTCAGTGAGTTTGCAACTGATCAGAAGTCATGTAAGCAGCAGTGATAAAACTGAAAGACTCCTCATTTGAGGAGCAGAAAATGTACCACATTTCCAAAGATTCCCACCCACAGCAGAAGAGATAAAATTCCTAACCCGCAATTAGAAGGCAGTTTTCTAACTCTTCCATCTAGTAAGTAGGATTAAAACGCTTCAATTCTGCAATCTAACATTATGTGGTTTTTTCAAAAGCAAGTTCAATTCCATGAAACCTGCAGTTCCAAGTTTTACCATGTATATTAAATACACTTGCCTCACAAAGGTCAGACAGATCAAAAAAGTTTTCCTTACTCAGAAAGGCATTTGCCTTCAAAAAATAAATGCATACTATTCTATACAAGTGCTCTAGTAAAAATGCAAGTTACAGTCTATAGCAGCTAATCAATTAAAAACTCAACCACCTAGTTTAAAAGACACACATATAAATAATTGCCATCTCCATTTGTTTTAGTGGATATACCACTATGAAAATGACTCTTAAAAAGACAACTGTTACAAAATGCAAAGCACGACTGAAACTACTTTTCTGGAAGAAAAGATTTCTTTTACACTAACTAAAGCAAACTGTTAATCACATGTTTCTGATATTGTTAGTCAACTTATTTTTTTGAACACCATGAGTTGCTGATCACTACATGTAGAAGAAAAAAAAAAGTGTTTCCTCTTTCTGAAATACAAAAAATTTGTCATGGAAGAAATTGCTATTACCAGATTAGAAAGTTTTACATGTAAAACCAAATTAATTATTACTTAAAATTGGGTATGGAGAAGATTTAATGAACTTCTGTCAAGATATACCAATATTCAATATATCAATAACCAACAACGTAGTTTGTTTAAGGTCTTGTTAACAAAGCAATCACTCCATGTCCAATGAACAAGAGGCCAGACCAGCCACAGGATACCTAGGGTCATTCTTCTGCTTTGCCATGGACAACCATGAAAATCCATTAGCCTCAACCTGCCCCTATTCACCTATTGTGAAGCAGGGATAACGGAACTTTTCTTCCTGCCAGAGGGACTCGGGAAAGAACCAGATAAATAGAAGAAGGTACACCTTATAGATTCTGCATGTAAGGGAGGTTCGTAATAAAACAGAATTACAAAGCATCCTCAAACTAGCTTTATTTCAAGTAGGCCTTCCCTGTAAGCTTTCCCTTAGCTTGCTCTAGGAGGCAAAAAATTCAGCTTCTTTCAAAACTATTCCCTAATTTATTTGCTGTGTCTTTGCCTCATGCCATCTTAAGAACTGGAAAAGAAATTCAGGATCTGATGGAGCAACAAATATAAATGAGCTATCCATTATTTCAAAAAACCCCAGAAAAGGGACCCCAGAGTCTTTTTTCCTTTTTTGCTAGATCTCTAATCTTTACTTTAGTTGGCTGATTTCTCAAGGAAACACTAGCATTCAGCAACATCCTTCATGTTCAAGCAAAATAATGGTTACACATATTCTCATTCCACCTTACACACTGGAAATGAACACAAGCGTACATCAAAAAATCTTCATATTTGACTGTTTTGATGTATAATGAGTATAACTGACTGTAGAAGATTCTTCCTTCAAAAAATTTACAGCAGTAACATCAGCCTAGTATCTTGCCATTTTTGATAGGTATCTACATTCACACACATAAAATAGCCCTCCTCAGTCTTACAAATCAACATTTAATTCATGCTTATCCTTTAAAAAAGTGCAACTTGAAGAGTGAAGCAAATTGTGTCTCTCCAAGGACTGACTCCCATGCATGAAGGAGCTACAGTAAGCACCATCCCATCTTCTGCCCCAACCTTTGCAAGATATAACTGCTCGTGAAGCTGAGGGAGCAGAAACAAAAATGTGCTCATGCTGGAGTCCACGAAGTTCACACTCCAGAGCACTACCGGAGACCCACCTCTGTCTGGATTTCAGCTAATAGGCCAGGCTGCTCTGGAACCTTGGAGACTCAGGCACACGTTCCCTTCTGACTCCCAACTGCAGCAATGCTCACCTCTGGCAAACACACAGGCGGAACAACCAGAAGCCATAATGGCCTAAGCCACCACAGGTTCTCCAGAGCTCATCTATAAAGGTCCTGACTTGGAGGCAAGTTCTATGTAGACTTCCGAACTGATCGACACGTTTTGTGGGCTACTCTCATCTACCCCATCTGGCTGGGGGGCGGGCAGGACGCCCCAGAATCCAACCTCACATCTGGTATGGTCCAATATTCCCTTTAAACTAGGGGTTGCCAAACACACCAGCTTGGTGCCAGCTGGGGACTCCCCCATGGCAACAGAATAACAGGTGGGCAGATCGGGTGGCTTTCCAGGACTTCTCACCCTTCACATCTGCAGTGGGGATATACTGAGTCACAGATCTGCCTTCTGTTTCTCACTCAAGGTAAGCATCTCTCTTTTACACAGCATCTACAATTTAAAACAAGCACTTTCCTTCAAAGCGCAGAAGTATTTTCAGGCTGCAGAAAGAGATGAAGCTTTGATTTTGAAAAAAAACCAAACAGATTGTAGGTAGGGTGGTTTGTTTCAGAAGGGGAGAAGCAGTATTGATGTGTAGTATTAGGATGGAGAGACAGCTTTGACCAGCTACAACCACAAGAAAAACGTATGGTTTCTTTGGATACTGACATTTGCCCGTGCTTTGTAACTATTACTGCAAGCTACAAGACCAGAATTGGTTTTGGTGTATTTCTCATTTTCATTTTAATTTCAATTTCTTTGCAGTATAACTCTTCAGAAATTGTAACTTTCACAATTTTTAAACATTTAATTATATTCCTCATGGAGACAGTAGACCAAAAATATATTTGCAAATTTCTAGCGTAATTTTAAAAAATCTTAATCCATAGTTTTGATTTGGTTTTATAGTAAGCATGTATAAAATACTCTTTTTATTTTATTAGCAATCCTGGAATATTTAGTTCATCCTCCAAAGGCAAGATAACTAACAACAACAACAACAAAAAATCTACCTTGAAACAGAGTAGAAAAATGTTATTCTTACAGCAGGGTTCTAGAAACACAGGAACCAGCAAGTGATTTACCACTTCCACATGACACAAGATAAAACCTTGCATTTAGTACAAATTAGATTTTTCAGCTTATGCTATTGTATACTTCTGCTTTAATCATTTAAGCCATTAATATTTGTATACTGGCCTCTGAAGGCCTTTTTACAGTTCAAACACTACAAATAAGTGTTTGCATTATTATTAAAAGCAGTCAAAAGTTACCAATTCTTATAGTTGTTTTAAACTACATGCTACACAAAACTTAAAATACTACAGTGTCCTGGTTTCAGCTGGGATAGAGTTAGTTTTCTTCCTAGTAGCTGGTATAGTGCTGTGTTTTGGATTTATTATGAGAATAATGTTGATAACACACTGATGTTTTAGTTGTTGCTAAGTAGTGCTTGCACTGGTCAAGAACTATTCAGCTTCCCATGCTCTGCCAGGTGCACAAGGAGCTGGGAGGGGGCACAGCCAGGACGGCTGACCCAGACTGGCCACAGGGCTATGCCATACCGTATGGCGTCATGCTCAGTGTATAAACTGGGGGGAGTTGGCCGGGGGGCAGCAATCGCTGCTCAGGGATGGGCTGGGCATCGGCTGGCAGGTGGTGAGCAGCTGCATCACTTGTTTTTCCTGGATTTTGTTCTTTTTTGTCGTTGTTTTCCTTTTCACGATTATTATTATTTTATTTCCATTATTAAACTGTTCTTATCTCAGCCTGTTAATTTCCTCACTTTTACCCTTCCGATTCTCTCCCCCATCCCACCAGGAGGGGGAGAGTGAGAAAGCGGCTGTGTGCTGCTTACTTGCCCGCTGGGATTAAACCACAACATACAGCATATGAGCTTTATGCAAACATAACTAGCAAATTCAGCAATTCAAAAAACCCATCAGATAAACTAAGTGTACAAGAAATGAAAAGCAGCTTCAAATGCTTTTGAGCACTAACAATAAAGAAACTAGAAGGTATATAGTACAGTAAAAAAATCAGAGGAAAAAAGAAAGACCATAAAAATTCAGCACAGGTATGCCTAAGCAGGTTTACAAAATAGAAATAAAACTGCAGTGTACTCAAAGCTCAAAGCTTTCTTCTGCATCTCGATTATCCTAATTACCCAAAATGGCTGACACCACGGTATTTTCTCCCTGATGTACAGTGTCATCAAATATTCCCATTTCAGCATTATAGAAAATATATGCAAAAGAAAGAATGGCTTTCTGATACTACCTCAGCACAATTATCAGCAACAGTAAAAAAACATAGATAGACAGGGACACGAAACTATGGCAACTATGAATAAAGAAAAATTTTAAAAGTGACACTTGAGAGGAAAGGCAAGGAGGAAGAAACTGACGAATTTCTGTAAATAAGTTATAGCACAGAACTATTCAGCAATAGCTCTTTTGTCCCCCAACAAATATTTAGGAGGGTAGCTCTTATTTCTTGGTAATCTTCCTTAGATTAAATCTCACTAATTACAGTCCTAATTCTGCAGAGAATCAAAGCATACCGATTCACAGAGTTGTCTGGAAATCAAGAGAGTATGATCTGGACATTACGGCAAAGTCCCATAAAGGCGTTTTCTTGTTGGACTGAAGCCCAGTTTTGTGAGGTCTCAAAAGTCTCCTTAGTAAACATATATCATTCACTCTCTGCACCCAGAAATACCAGGCACCTCAAAAACTGCGGGAAGGTATGGAATTCTGAAACACCACAGTTGGATGCAAAAACCACTACTTAATGTATTAAGAAATAAGAATCAGAAAGTTACAGATGACACCGGGATATTTTCAAGCCAGCATGAAGAGAATTAGGTCAGCAGCTCTGATTAGCACTCGCTTCCAACTGGTGAAATCTTCTCATATATAAGAGACTGTTGTCACTATGGAAATGATGAAAAGCAGCAAATAACCTTTTTCACGCTTATGTTTAGTGTATTAATGACCAGGCTTATAGACTGTGTTTAACTTAATCCACTAGAGATATTTAAGAATTCATATAGTTTAGATAAGCAGCTTCATACACATATATGATGTAGTAAATTCATAAGAAACACTTACTGGGTAATTTTTTTGAAGGGATGGAAGGATGGGTTCAGGTAGGGCTATAAAAAAAAAGTTTAAAGTTGCTGTGATTCATGTAATTCACAGGAAACAATATCATATTAACTACACCAAAGGGTTGGACTGAAATTCCATCTTAAAAACATCTATCAAGAACTTCACTTTCATGCATTTTGTAAAATAAAAGTTATTCACCAAATCTATTACTATATTTTGTCTATATATAGTAGTATATGGAGATAATTCAGCTAAGGGCCACTGTTACTAAGATACTACTGTTTGTAGAAGGCATGAAAAATTCTACAGCAACTGGGTACGACTTCACTTTCAAAATTCATATTAATTCATGGCTATAAGAAACTCATCTAGATTCCCTAAAGTTCCCTACATCTAACACAATATGATTCTATCACAGCATAAGACGACTGCAGTCCAGATACTGCAAAAGTACACATTCTTCAGCTGCAAAGTATTACATACTGAGTCTCCAAAGGTAACTTAAAGAGAAAACGCCCAGCACACTTAGTAGGCACTGCTAGTAAAATCCCCATAATACATAAATACAGTCTAATGCTGTTAGCTGGTCTACTAAACAGCAAATGGGTTATAAAGATTATGCAGACATTAACAATACTAACAAACACAGAATGAACTAAACAATTGTAACTTATGAAAGTCATGGATGGGGAGAGCATCTATTGCACAATACAAATTACACGTAAATAAACGTATCTTCTAGGTTAGGTGGTCCTACAGATGGACAGGAAAAAAAAATCCCAAAGTATTCACATCCCACTCAAACCTTAGAGCAGCTACAGAACTTTTAGAGCACTCCTTATAGCTCAGCTCTAACATCATGTCTTTGGCATGTTGTTTTTTTTTTTTAAACAATTGTCTACATCATTCACTAGGGAATAATTCAATTCACCCTTCAGACAAGGTCTCACAGGGGATGAGATGTTACAGAATCCTTTTTCCATAGAGACTAAGAAATAGCAGAACAGAATTCTCAGAACACACTTGGGATATGTTCAAAGAGTATACTATATTACCTAGTAGGACTGCTAAGAATATGATTACAGCTGCTTTAATAATAATTTTATTTTGTTTGTGGGTGTTTAGAAATACGCAAGGGCATCTTATTTCTGCAACATCTTGGATCATTTCCAGTTCTCTGTCATGCTAAAATAAAGGGCAACCAAATCTGAGCAATACAAGCAATCAAGATATTTTATCTGGGTCTGTATGTTATAGTAAGAGGATGAAGTGAAGGGGAAAGTTACCACTTACCACTAGCATTCACCACATGAGTTTTCCTTTTTACTGTTCAAAAGACAGTTGGACCTGTTACCTGGAGGAAAGTTTACGTACAAGACACTGATGTACCTACAAAATAAACTCAAGCGACACTAACCTTAGGTCCAAAAGACATCCACACGAGTATAAGAATACAAAAATGGATTAAGTAGTAAAGGAAAGAAATTTGTCTACTGAAGACAGGGACACTATTTACTGCAAAAGAAAGCTTTTAATTTTTTCCCCTCCCTGGTAACATCAACAAAACCTTATTAGAAACTCTATGACTAGGACACAAGCTACTTTCAGTAGCATCACATGCATGTAGCAGAAAAAAAGGTTAAAATCTGCATGAAAAAAACATCAGAATCTAAACAGTTGGTACTAGATACATGTCCAGAGCCACACTTCAGCCTTTTTTAGCAGAAAAAGCTGATGAAGCACAGGTAAAAGGTTCCTTTTTGGTCTGCAGACTGCTGATCCTTCCCAGGCAGCTGACTGATCACAGTTTTGCATGAAAAGGATTATTTGAACTTTTTTTTCCCCCTTCCCCAGACAGCTGTGGCAGCTGCCACAGATAACTACAGCAAAAGCCCTCATGCTTGCACCATTGTTAACATTCTGGCAAGCCTACACATTTATACTTCCTTGTAACTCCTACTCTCTTCCCTTTTGTGCATTACTTTCATACACAGCTCAGTAATTGGCTACCCACGACTGTACACAGCACCCAATACAAGTCTCTAGAGTAACTGCGATACAATGAAAATAGATGCGGGGAATAAATTCCCAAGTGAAAAAGCCTATTTCCATTAAAAGTGTAACACTATAAAATGCTTATCAAATCACTGTTAAGATGGTCACTAATTGCTAGACCATGTAAAAATACGTTTTCTCCTCTCCTTGTGCTTCACCTTTGCATAGCAATCTCCACATCCAGTAGTTCCCAACATTTTTAATCTTGTGTCTGATAATCGCTTTGGCATTTTTAAGTTCATTGTCATTCCATCTCCTCCAAATCAACATTTTTTTGTTTCATTATTTTTTTTTTTCTGATGTGTATTACGGATCTTCATTGCAGTACTCCGTCACCTACAGTATGGTTTCAGAGCTGTGACAACAGACTTGGCCACATTTTCTTTTCCTTCCACAGAAACAAAGAAATCGATGGAATTCCACCATAGTAGATGGAGAGAAAAAAAACATAGTCACTGGACATACTAGCTTATGTCCTACTGTCCTGGTACATTAACAACAAGCATATAGCATGGGCATCAAAGAATTCAGAAGTAACTCAGCCAACTGGACCCCAAATACACAAAATGCCCTCCTAGGTCCTCTATTACAGATATTGCTCAGCTGAAAGAAAGCCACCAGCTTGAGTCAGCTATCATAAAATCTTTCCACCATAGTACAGAGTGGGTGTAGCTACCCACTCTACAGCAAGTACCTACATTCCAGGCCAAACAAGCTGTCAGAGGAGCTAAACATTGTTTCTACCTGATTTAAACAAAAAATTAAAAGCTACACAAACTGTCAAAGGGGAAAAGTCTAAAAGGAGAGCCTACGCAATTGGTCCACAGATATGATTGTAAAATGTTAAGAACCAGCTGTCATTAAAATAACATGAGCAAGAATAATCAGCACATTACAAAAAAATTAAAAAAGGTGTAGATGAATACAAGCAGCTAAATACACAGTCTATGCATGAACTGACAAGAATTAAGAAATACTTCTACAGACATGTTACTCCACAAGATGTACACTTCAGGGGTTCCTTGCCTTCCTTTCTGAAGCCGCTTATCTCCCAACAAAGAACCAAGAAACTCATACTGAGCTAAATAATTTCTTAAATGATAATCCTTAAGTCTTAAGCAAGAATTGCAAACTACAAAAAAAGTCACAAACTTGAACTTCCGCTAATAAAAGAAAGAAATAGGGGGATAAGCTCATTTCAACCTACTCCTCGAAAACATTCCTGGACTGCATGGGTTTCTTGAATTCTCAACAGGGATCCTTAGTTTCTCAGGTAAAGCTCTGCAGCTCCATACAGATGTTCAATGTTTCAATATATTGAAGTCACAAGAAAAGATACTGCCACTGGCAGTCAAATATCCCAATTTCTAATGGTGTTCGACATCTGCCACCAGTAGATGTCGTAAGATGTCGTACCAGAAGACAGTAATCAGTGGAAAAATCTAACTACATAGTAGTGCATTCTTGCATATACATGTTCCCCATGTTCAGTCCTTCACTCAGAAGACAGAAAAGTGACCCCGCAGCGTTTGTTGTCCCTTTGAATTTTCTTGGAAATACCCAAATAAAAAAAAAAAAACAAACAAAAAAACAACCAGCCAAAAAACCCAAACCAAAACCCACTGAAATTGTTAAGTTTAGGTTTTTCCCTTTGTTAAAAGGCAAATTTTTGTTAACTAGCGCTTGAGTTTATTTTACAGTTACACAGTGTCCTGCAGGTACTTTTTTTTTTTTTTATCCTTTTTAAAGCTGGTAACTCTGCCTCCAGAGAAGAGGTTCACTTGTTAACGAAAAACGCAGCATTAAGGAAATGGAGGAAACCCACTTTATTTTCAGATTTTTCTGTGTGGAAGATGACTCCTGTTGGTGTTTTATTTTATTAAAGAGGAAAACTACACAAATATGAACTTAAAATGGACAGTTTCAACATGTAAAAAAATACTTACTCTGTAAATAGTGCAAAACCATCAATACAAGACTATAGCTGCTTAAAGTACCACGACTGGCATCATTTATGTCATGAAAACTCGCCCACTTCTTAACAACAAGTACTAATGGACGAACTCGATTCTCAACTGCAAGTAAAATAAATACATCTCAAAAAAAGGCACATTTAACTCGACAGCAATCAATCAACATTTTTTCCTACTTGATCAACATGATACTCTTGTATTCTAAGGTTACCTTTTGCAACCATTTTCTAGAATTTACTTAGTTATTCTACAACTACTATCCATCTTATAAAAATCAGAAAAAGATTTGCATTTGAAAACAGTCTTTTGAGTAGTAAGATCCACAGACACGTTACAAAGGGTATGCCAGGTAACTTGCAGATAAGACAAAACTAGATGCATCAGTCAATGTAGCAGTGTCACATTCTACTTTTAAGTTCTCTCCAGTTCATTGTACTAATTTTCCCTGAATTAACTTGCTGCGAGGACAGACCACATCTTTTTTTATTTTTTTTTTATTTAGGTTATATAAACTTTGAGGGCAGGGAAAAGAATTCTCCTGCTTGGAGGACACAGAGCTCATTCTTAAGTTTTCCTCAGGATCCATGAAAGCAGTAACCCCTGCATACAAACATCAATATTAAATTTGCCTTGTCCTCAATAGCTTTTATGGAGATGAGATGTTAGATACAGTAACTCATTAAATCAAGATTCATGCTTCTCATGAGGAAAGACATAAATACAGTCATATTCCAGGTATGGTCTTCTGAATTTCTGGGGAATATAGACAGCCTTCTAATTAAGGTAGTAATGTATTGTAGGGAGATGTCACTCACCACCACCTCCCAGTGACCTTGCAGTGTACTTAATTTATTATTTGCAGGTATATAGAAGCAGATCATGAGGTCAGGTGCCTTATGATGGCCTTACAATACGGTATATGTTCTGGAGTATCATTTCTAACTTGACAACATTGTGCAAAATTTTGTATTCTGCACATCAGGACAGCAATATATGAATAGCTAATCGCTTCAACCAGGACAACAGACATCCTACAACAGCACCAGTTGGGGTACGTTCTGTTACTCCGAAAATCTTATCAAGCATGGGATTTTCTTACAACCTGTTCACAGTGGTTCAGCACACATGCCCCTATAAGTGGTACTAATTTTCTCAGCGTAAATATCCCAGATCTCGAAGACTTCTTAGAAACAACAAAACTCCTTACTACCAGTCACTCATTCCCGACATTATTTACCAGTGGTTGAACTAAAAAATATGACTATTAGTACGCTAACTGTGAGATGCAGAAGAATTACTGTACAGACATCATATGAACATGCATTAACTGAAATAGGATTTTTCCATGAGAGAAAAATGCAAATAGGCTCAAATTCCAAATGGGACTGTTTTGTGTGTGTGCATGTGTGATAGTAGAAAAGTCCTCTTTTTAGTTGATCTTATTCTGAGATAAGGTTTTCTGTCTGCTAGTGCCTGTAATTAGTATATAACAAAGTTAGTGTGCAACATGGCCAGTAAACTTTTCCTTATACTCTCTCATCAGTCAACAAGCTACCCCTTCAAGAAAGGGCTCAGTAATATCATTTGCTCCAAGGTCCAGCTTCCACTAATTGAAAAATACCTACTATCAATTGCTGATTTAATTGCAGACATGTCTCCTTAGGCAAAAAAAAGATAACACAACAGCATAGACTTCAGTTTCTAGCTCTGCTTAATCTACCTACATTTTCTGTGGACATTCTGCTTCACTTTGCGATATCATCTTTGATGTTTTCTATAGCACCTATGCACCAACATAGAAGGGCTGATATCAAAAAAGACACAAGAGCATCCACAGAAATATTTATGGTTTTTTTTTTTAAATCGTCCTCATTAAGATAACCAGTCCCTTGTTTCCTTGAGCATCTAATTTGTTCTAATGGAACAAAGAGACCTGTACATCTTTCACATGAAAGGTAATTTGATCCTTTTTTCTCCCATGCAGGGTGAAGCCCTTCAGCCACAAATTTAATTTAGCAGGCTAATACTTTTAATGCTATCCACCCTGCTTGATTACTTCTAGAAGTATGTAAAGCAGCTGTCTGATAAAAGTTTCCATTTACTTTTGTTTGCCTTATGTCACCTGAGAGTTTTCTGGTCCAAAGAAGACAAGGCAGACTATGCTTGACACAGTTTGCCTATTTAAGAAGGTCTAACACGTTGAGGAGATAATCTTTTCAATCACAAGTCTCCCTTAGCTACTAACTCACTCCTTGGCCTCAAGCAAATAACAATATTTATCCTTCATAAGGAGACATAAAGTTAATTTTGCTGGCCTTGTAAGAGTGGGCACCAAGGCAGAACGGAAGAAAAGGTGGGATACTAGGGCCACTTCCACTGCTCTTTTCACATCTGGACTCATCTGCCCTACAGTGATTTACTGAAAGGAATAAGGAAAGTCTGTGGCAGAAGTCAGGAACAACTATAGCAACATCAGACTTGGTGAAGTGATCCCTCACCTGTAGCCATGAATGACAAAGATTATTTCCCTAACCTTTTCAAGCTTGGAAGGAAATACTTCTCCAGGCATACACATTTCGGGATGTATGAAGAAATTACAGTTAACCAACTGATCCAGGCCAAGTTGTAGACTCTTCTAGTAATGTGAATATGGAACACTGAAACCACTCTGAAATTTTATTAAAACTTAACCAGTAAAGGTAACTTCTACTGATAACTGCCTACCCTAAATAGAAAGGAATTCCTGTATGCAAGAACTGAAGAAGGTGGTAAAGGAAGAAACACAAATGGCCTGGAAGAATTCAACTGAGGTCCACTCCTCAGGTATTTATCTGCCAAATGACATTCTAATGCTAAGTAAGAAAACTTCAGTTTAGCACTAAGAGTGCTGTTCTTATTACTTCTCATTCAGAAGTCTGTTTCACAATCTCTCCCTAGAATGCAAACTCCTGAGGAGACACAAACCAGTTTTGTTTTGGGGTTAGTATAAAGACTGAGGCAGTGTTTTGGGTCTTCCAAGGAAGGACTCTGTAACAGCATACAGACACAGCTAGCTATCAGCCACACATACTTATCAGTGGCTGTCAGGAAATAAAATAAACTGGGAGATTATACTACTAGATAATCATTAGTATAACAATCTTGTTATCTGCAGAATACTGAAGCCGCCCTTGTAGCAGATATGTGGACCTTAATATGAAGAATCTTTATTATCTTGTGAATATTATAATATTAAATTAAAAACATACCTAGCTGATATATCAGTTTTCTCCATATATTTAGCATGAGCAACAAGAAGTTATCTTAAAGCTATCTAATGCAGCTCCTGAGGTAATTATATAAATAGTAACCTAGTATATTCAACTGAATTTTAATAGTCTATCAATACCAAAATACAATTTAAACACCAAAGTTTATAGAAATAAGAAAATACATTAAAAAACTTACTGTATGCATAGGTTCTCAGAAGGAATGTATTTCTTATTCCTACAATATTGTTTACATTCAAGTCAAACTCCACACAGCTATGGGGGAGGAGAAAAGAAAAAGAATCAAGCATCATGGTATTCAATTTCAGAATATTTATTACCTACTTAGAGGCAGAGGTGAAGAAATGTAACTTTAAGATAATACTCTAGAAACTTTTTTCAAACAGAGTTTTGATGCTGTGATTTCTACTCTGGTTTTGTTTATAGTACTTGAATTGCTTATAGGCTTGAATTCCATTGTCCTAAAAATGTAATTGTTTTACATAGAGAATACATGTAGACCCAAATTTAGACATTAGGACAACTTAATGTACCAAATATGTTTTGAATTTTTAGCAAATCTTTCTCCCAACTAGACTTGCACTGCATGTTTTACTATGGACAACTTTTGATGCCAGGAAGGATTGTCTGATGTATCAGCTTAGGAAATCATGCCAGTGAACTGAGGAGAATTGGAAGAGGTCGAAAGATAAGAATCTCTTTCCTGCAATGATAGTCGGAGATAATTGGCAAGCACTTCGAAATGAAAACTGTTTGTTAGTAAACATCACATGTTTTGTGATAAAACAAGATTTAATAACTGTTTCATGCTGTTAACAGCAAATAAGAACAAGGCAAACAAGCAGTATCTGCTTTATTTATAATCACACCCTGCCCCAAAGTTTGAATTTCATACTGCATATAGAGCTCAACTACTCTCAGTACTCAAGAAATGATATTAAATTCATAGTTAATAAGCTATGCCAACAGTGTAACTCGCAACAAGAAGAGCCTATTATTGACAAAGGAGTAGCTATCTGCAATGTACAGCTACTTCCACTTTATATATCCAAGTCTCATACACATAGCATTTGTTTGTCTGAATATTCCTCTGGGTTTTCTTGAATTATTGTAAGGGGAACATGAACGTGGAATTTATTAAACTGGATAAAACGCATGAATTTGACACCTACAGAAGTTTTTTGACATCATTAACTACATTAAAAATGCTTTGCATCAAAAATATTACATAATTTTAAACCTGAATTAATATCAAGCAAGACTTTTTAGATGTATTAAGGGCATAGTATAGGAAATAAACAAGCTTGAGCTACTGCTTGACAGTTGTAAAAATAAGCATAAACACCACTAAGAATATTAGTTGTATGTGCAAATATAATAAAGAAAGATGTCAAGCTGCATGTGTAATTCCAATTAACCTCAATTGACAAGATTACTATTTACCAGATACTCATTAAACAAGTTCTATTGCAGTTATTTTGTACTTTAATATGCACATTTAATAGATGTTGCAATTATTGCAAGTGAAGAAGGTTTTGAACTGTTAGGAGTCAAGTTCTATCAATAGCACTAAAGGAGAGGAAAAAAAAGAGTCAACTGCACATCAAATGTAGCAGAAGAGGAAGTTTTTGCATCCTCTGTAGTACAGAAATCTTGTTAATTAATCAAAATTAATCTGCCTGGTAGCAGAGCCAGCATTGGAATTATCTCCTGGGAAAGACTACCAAAATAATAGATAACATGTCTTTAAGTGCAGTGGATCTTCCCTTACTGCTATAGTGCTAAAAAACTCTAAGATGAAAAAGGAAAATAAACACAAACTGAATGCTTTGTCATTCACCAAATCAAAGTAAGTAGGAAATGGCAATTTTCAGGTATATATGGACCATTGGCAACATGTTAGAATCCAGATGCAGATACCACCCACTGAATTCTACCATCTTCTCCCAGCAGCCAGGTATCAAGAAAACTGGCTTTCACAGGAAGCTTGTCATGTTTAATTTCTGGTGTTGGCTAAAAGAAACTTAATGCTCTGGGTACAGAATACCCAATGCATTTTTCAAGACCTCTGTAAAAAAAATGAATCAGTGTGCATGTACGTATATGCATGAGCCTATGAAAGACAGAGGCCAATAAGAGATCAGAAAGAGACAGATGCTTAAAAAGACAAAACGTGGGTGGTGGTGACAGGTTAGGTAAGAGAATAACAGGAAAGAGAGAAAAAAATAAACAAACGAAAAAGCCAACCCAAAGTCATGTCATTCGCCCCTGCTCCCCTCTTCCCAAAAAAAAAAAAAAAAAAAAAGCCCACAGGAAACCAGATTGTGAACAGTACTGTTTTTTTCTCTGAAAATATGCAATGGGCAGCTTCTAGTCTAAGACAATTATACTTTGATTTTGTAGGAAATAAAGAATTTTTTAAATCCTGTCTGTAAGGTTTATGAATATCATGACCATTACTTTTTTTTTTGCAAGTGACCATAAATGCCTACAAAAAGACTTCCACCTTCTGACATAATCACTTCCATACTTAAGGTTTCTTTTTAAAGTTTATTTTCTGATTTTAAATTGGAAAAAAATATCCTTGCTATAACTCCATGATTTACACAATATTTGTACCAGGAATTTACCATTTAGTGTATCTATAAAACGACTATCATTCTTATAGGGAACTAAGCCATTTAACCCAAATTTTAGCTTGACAGGTTTAATACTTTAAGAAAGCATGGAGAGAAACAGCTGTCTGTACTGTTAGAGGAGAAAGTTACTAGACAAAAATTAGTCACCTTTTAAAAAGGCAGGCAAGTATATAGAAGTAAATATGGGGTTAGGTGTAAATGAAAAAAGGTATAAAGCTAAAATCCTAAAAAGTGTGATATAATCTCAGATGCAAGAAAATCTTAATGGATGATACTTATTAGTTCAAATTGTAAACATGACAGTTTCAGTTTTATCATAGCAGGGTTTCTGCTCTGATAATGGTATGTTGTGATAAAAGCACATTGTGATATGCTTTTATAAAGAGAGGCCAGAGAAGTGGGTTTGTTTGTTTTTAAAAGAAAAGTTGTTTTAAATTGGATGCAAAATTTTAGAAGCATATAGGCAGGATAAGATAGATACAAAAGAGTTGTTCAAAGTCCTATTTACAAAGAATAGTCAAGCTATGTTATTACATGAAGGTGATACACCGAAGTCTTACAAAATCTAAGCCCATAAATACAGGAAGATTTGAACATTACTCAGACTCCCAACCAATTTGAGCGCTTTGCACAGTTTTTTCCTCTGTCTGATACTTTTATCACACACAATAAGAAATACATTGTTCTCTGTCCTAGTACATCCCTCTTGATTATTCATTTTCATGTGTTCATAATGAAGATGCAATGAATACAATAAGGTACAACACATCCATTTCTCTCCAATTACTTCCCCTTCTAAAAAAAAGGCATAAAATTAGTACTTAACACCAAATAGAACATGTAATACTACTTTGTTACAGAATACCTCCCTAGAAGACAGCAGAATACACTCTTAAAATGAACAAAAATTTTTTTAATCGAGAAAACATCATCACAAGAAACTAGTGTTGTTTGTATAGTGTAAATGCTGTGAATTACTCCTTAAGTAGCTCAATAGTTATGTTTACACAGCAAGCAAAGTTATCTTTCAGGGAGTGGTGGGAGTTTTCTTCCCACCACTGTTTTTCTGTCATGAACCATATGTCAACAGGAGTCCACTATGTACAAATAACCCATAGAAATACATGATGTACTGCTAATACTTGACATCACAGAAACTAAAGAGCATCTCAACCACAAGAGGTGTTTCAGGCCGTTAAGGAAGTAAGCTGACTGCCACTGCACACTAGCTGTACAAATTCGCAATAGAACTATAGCACAACACAAATAAACAAAGCATGACTTCAGTGGGACTGCTCATGCAGAGAGTGCATATATAGAGTGCTTTCCAGTGTCAGAGTCTAAAACATGATGATGAACAGAATACTTGCCTGACTTTATCCCTGAACTTCACTATTGGCACTTTTGCTCGAATCAGCTGAGGTCGCTCAATGTAGCTTGCTGAAAGGGGGAAAAAAATATGCAATTAAGTTTCATGTAAAATGCTGATCTTAAAATAAGATCCTAAAGTGGAGTTATATTGACTGATTTATAGCAAATAGTAGCTTAGTAAATTTAGCAAATATATTCTCAGAAGGGTTGTGCTAAGTAACCTTTAGCAACTGCAGCAAAAAGACAATCTAGGAAAGTGGTTGGGGAAAAAAATGCACTAAGCATTAGAGAAAAACATTAGTGAAAGATTTTTCTGTGGGAAGTATATTCAAGAAATTTGAACGTAAAGAATGCAGTTCTACAACGCTTTCACTAAGCAGTACTTGTAATAGAAATCCTGAATTAAGGTTCAAAAAGAATGGAGGAAGAACATATCCACCCAGGATGGCCAGACACTTAAGCCCAGCACTACATTGTAGCAACGGGCACGTGATTAGCTGCATACTTTTTAATCGTGTCTAGTTTGCTTACAGTTGAAATTATGCATTTTACTGAGCAAAAAATATTAACATAACTATATCTTCACTATGCACTGATTATGCTTAAAATTTCCTTTACAAACTGTTTATTTGACTGATAAAGTACATACCAAGAAATACATTTCCTATCGAATTGTTACTGAAAACAGGATGACACTTTCCATCAGAGATAGGATAAGCTTTATTTGCCTTTTGCTTTAATGGTGATAGGACATGCAATAAACACATAATCACAGGACTGCACCTCAGATGATTATCCACACCGTATAGACACACAGGCTCAATGCCAGACCATCCAAATCCAAGCATACTGAGCTCTGCCAGACTCATACGGTGCCACCAAATGCACCTTTGCACTCAGCTCCCCAGAACTGTTCTGTCAGTCTCATTATCTGCGATGCCCCTATTCTTGATGGTATCTCAGGCTATATTTAGTAGTTGCCCATAATTGTGAATGAGAAATAAGCCCAAGAAAGTAATGGAAAAGACAAAGAAAAGCAGAGCCCGTAGGTTACATGGTATGAATTTGGGCAAAAAGCACGATTTTACCAATTTCTTCTGTTGCAAAATCTAGGATCACTTGAATTTGCCCATATGTAACACCACACATTTTCCCCTTGCTTCTATAAATTAACCTCTAATTAGCATAAATAAGTATGACAAAGCTAGAAGTAAGGAGGATTAAAAATAACATTAAATAAACGCTGATCTTCACTTTTTGGGAGGGGGGGAAAATAAAAGTATTCCTATCAGTTTGGATAGCAACTGTGATTAAACAGTCTCATCTCCATTGCATTTGGATGACAACTTCAGGTTTGGTAAAACCCTACTGTGCAATATTCAATTAAAACAAATTTTACTCTTTTTTTTTTTTTTGAGACTTTCTGAATGTGTTTTATGGATACACACGTTTAGGCAGATTTCATCTGAAGTAATCCTTTATCTGGATTTGAATGTCTTGTGCAATCCTAAGCAACAGACAGACTGGCACTCAAAAAAAGAGACAATCTTACTAACTTATTAATTTTAAAGGAAGAATCTTACAGAACTCCAATCCACGTTCACTGAACGTACAATCTAGTACAACTTACACAAGCGTCCCCTCTTTCTAGCAGCACCTGCAGACACATCCAAGCATCCCTCCTCCGACATCCCACAACATTCTTAAAGCAAAGCTATAAAGCATGTAGAGCTCCCTGCCTCATTCCCTTTCACTACCAAATTTAAGACAAAGATGCCCAACACATTAGCACATGGTAGACAACGGCAGGTATCTATCTTCATGCCATAGCAATTCAGCTTTCCTCACTACGAGCTTTCTCAAGTGCCCTTCAGAAGTTAACTGAACTTCTAGTGGCAATCCACTTCCAAACACACCCTTGTCTGAAAATACCTGCCAGCATTTGATGGATGCTTGTGCCAAATTAGTTGGCTAAGAAAAAAAAAAAAAAAATCCCAAAACATAATCCCCATCTGTTTCTGAGGGTGAAAGAAAGCAAAGAGGATGTTAGAAGGCAGTAACTTGCTGCTGGTACCCTCTTTCTTGGCTCACACCAATGACACTGTTAGCAGAATCTCTGTTGTACATTAGATTGTCATACATACAAGGGAAGAAACAGCCACAAACACAGGATGTGGAATTCTGAAATACATACAGGTTGAGTAAGTGCCTTAGTAAACTGACTGTCTGACCTTGAAGCCATGACCAGAGGGGCTACACCAAAATACACGTAAAGAATTCCACATAGCTGCTCCACAGTTTTGCGCATGTTTATGAAAAAGTCACAAATGTCACTTCAGCTGTAGTGAAAAAGAATATAACCACTTCAAAGACAACTAAGCAGCGTTTCATAAATAACTTATTCATGCAGAATTTCAGATTACACATCTTAAGTCTCTTATCTTTTACAGAATAAAAGATTAAGCAATTGTACAAAATATTAATCCCAAACATGGTATATGCCAAAAAGATCTTTGGCATCCTGCACACGTAGCCTGCTCTCATTGACAGGGTTGTAATATAGAAAGAGAAACTGGGCGACACAGAAGTCTGAATCCAGAGTCATGAAGAATCTAGGAGGGTACAACCCAGCACAGGATGAATTAGTTGTTGATGTCTGGAATTCACTTGCCCACCTGCACAGTCCTTTAAGGTCATTCATTTGAGTTCAAGTCCCCTTGCTTGTCCTAGCTGTTGCATGTTCCCCACCAGACAACCATTAGGTGGATTCCACTCTGATATCCTAGTCTCAACACTACTGCACTGCTTTGTATAACTAAGAGAAAACGAGCTCTTTGTTACTTATTCACATAGTAAACACCAGTCAATGCAATACTGCTAAAGTGTTCTGCAAATGAATCCTGCCTAGACAAATCTGAACAGAGTAATCTGTTTGACGTTTACTCTCAGTGGTTTGGATTATGCTCTCTTCAATACATTGCAACAATAACCACTCCAAATTCATGTTTCACATTTCGTATTTCTAGAAGACATTGATTGGCTTGAGTGTACAGTTCTGGGAACGTTAACCAGTATTGTAAAAAACAGGTAAGTGCAGGTATCTGAACGAATAAGTGGAAAAGTTACACATGCTCTGCTAGTCTTTGGAACAGCAGATATATTACTGCTATCCTTACATCTCTCTACTCTAGGAGAAACAAACACGATACATACCTTTTAACACTAACACATCCTACAAAAACAGCAAATAAATATCAGAAGCATTTTCCTACTTTACTCTGTGACTAGACTATTCAAAAAAAAAAACCCCACATCTTCACTTCAGTCAGTGTTCTAGATGCAGAATGACAACACAGAAAAGCCTCCGCTCTAAGACTTTAAATCTGATGGGCTCAAATTCTTTGCTCACACTTGCTACCTTTTGCAAGCCTGAAAAACTGAAATAAGCTGGAGCTTAGATAAATTTTGAATCCGCTTCCCAAACCTCCTAGAATGAAACACTAATCTAACAATCACAGTTTACTGTATATAAAGGATAAAAGAGATGGCACTTAAGGTTCTGAAGATGATGTTAGGAGAGGCACAGCTAGAAAAAACTTCTGCCAAGTTTTTGAACTGAAATGATCTGAAAAAAGGTTAAAAAAAGCTCTAGAACATTACCTATACTACAGATCTCCTCCTTATTGCTTTTTTCCTTTAACTCTTTCACAAAACCAGCCCAAGAACTTTGTTTTAAATAATATCTTATCTTTCCTCCCCCTTCTACAGGCTGTTCAGAAGGGACGTGTGAGGTAGGAGGGGCAGAGGCGTTGCCCTCTATGACAAGAAATGGACAGAGTGTGAAGAAGTGTCCCTGAAGAATAGCCAAGAGCAGGTTTGAAGTTTATGGGTAAGAATTAGAGACCGGGGCAACAAAGGGAACCTCGTGGTTGGGGTCTAGTACAGGCCGCCTGATCAAGGGGAGCCTATTGACGAAGCCTTTTTACTTCAACTACAGGAAGCTTTGCGCTCACAGGCTCTTGTCCTGATGGGGGATTTCAACCACCCTGACATCCGCTGGGAAAGTAACATGGCAGGCGGTAAGCAATCTAGGAGACTCCTGGAGTACCTGCAGGAACACTGCCTAAGCCAGGTAATAGATAGCCCTGCCAGAGGGGACACAGTACTGGACCTGGTGGTCACCAAGGCAAGTGAGCTCATTGGTGATGTCAGCACTGGAGGCAGCCTTGGCTGCAGTGATCACGCACTGGTAGAGTTCACAGTCCGGAGAGATAAGGGTTGGGTGAAGAGTACATTCAGGACCCTGAATTTCAAGAAAGCAAACTTCCAGCTCTTCAAGGAGTTAATCAACAGGACGCCTTGGGAAATGGCCCTCAGGGACAAGGGAGCAGAATAGAGCTGGCAGGTCTTCAAGGATGCTTTCCATAGGGCACAAGAGCTCTTGATCCCCAGGTGCAGGAAATAGGGTAAGGCAGGGAAGAGGCCGGCATGGCTGAGTCATGACCTGTGGGTCAAACTAAAGGGCAAGAAGAGATTGCACAGGCAGTGGAAGCAGGGACTGGTATCTTGGGAACAGTCCAGGGACACTGCCTGGTTGTAGAAGGATGGCATCAGGAAGGCCAAGGCTCAGCTGGAGCTGAACCTGGCGAGGGATACAAAGAATAAGAAGAAGGGCTTCTCTAGGTACATTAACCAGAAAAGGAAGGTTAAAGAAAGCATGCCCCCTCTGATGAGCAGAAGTGGCAAGCTGGTAACAACAGACGAGGAGAAGGGTGAAGTACTCAACAATTTCTTTGCCTCAGTCTTCACTGGCAACCTCTCTCCTCACACCTGCCGAGTCAATGGGCCATTTGACAGGGATCAGGGGGGCAGAGGTCCTCCCACTGTAAGAGAAGATCAGGTTTGCGACCACCTGAGGAACCTGACTGTACATAAGCCTATGGGTCCCGATGAGATGCATCCCTGAGTCCTAAGGGAATTTGCTGATGCAGTTGCCAAGACACTCACCATGATATTTGAAAAGTCATGGCAGTCAGGTGAAATCCCTGGGGACTGCAAAAAGGGAAATATTGCAGCCATTTTTAAAAAGGGTAAAAAGGAGGACCCTGGGAACTACCAACCTGTCAGCCTCACCTCTGTGCCTGGG